TAATCGGAAGTTTTGGCCACGTTTTGGCTAGACATGTACTAAATAAATCTAATTCACCTTTCCGTGCCATTGATCCACTGTCACTACTAAACTCGCCAGTCTGTTTTAATAAACGAGTGTTGTGAGGGGTGGATACGAAAGGGTACGCAGACCGGTGGTAAATTTGTTTATGATCAAGAACGATTCATCGATGTTTTTCAATGTTTAACCTTCTCCGTTTTTATTCACTGATTGATCAGCTTCCCCGAGTGTAGAACTGAGATGCGACTTTTGTGACGACCCCCCCTCGGAAAAGGAACGCGAATACGTTTAATCTTCGTCCAGTACGAGTTAAATTAAGAATATTATCCACTTTTCAATGGGCACGTTTTGTCGCGTTTGTTTTGCGATGTCTTTCAGAGGACCTCTTTACAGACAGATGTATTCACACGGACAAGCTTCCGTCATGTATTAAGACCTTTACAATCTTCATAACAGATCTTTTCCCTGAAATGGACATCTATGCAATGTAAATTGGTTTCTTTAGCCACAAGTTTTTCTTTCGTTTATTTTTGTTTGTTGCTCACCCCGGCAGGAAACGTTAGGGATTGTTAGTACGAAGAAGTGATCCCAAATCAATTATTTCAACTTCCTGAGTTTTAGGGAACGAATACATATATATATTTTTTTATTTTAAAAATGTCCCGAAACCGCAATTAATAGTGATGCAGTGTCTCTTTAGAGCGTACATTTAGACACTTTCTTCCATTTCATATCAAGAACTGTTTATGTGGAAAAATGCTTTCACAAAATATGCTCATAGATTTTAGTATCTAAGTCCACATTTTGTGTTGAAAATATTTAGTTAAGAGAACATTAGAAATTTGACTTCTTGGCGCAAGCGTTGACATAGATTCTATACTCAGCTGGTCGCTGAATTAACTTCATTATCAACTTACTCGGCGTCGACATTAGCAAGGCGCTGTGAGTTTATCTCATGTAAGGCAAATCAAACAGGTTGCAAGCTTTTGACTAAAGTGGTGTTCAATGTGTTGTTGATTGGTTGTGGGTTAAAGTGGCACGGGAAAAAAATTTTTGGAAGGTATCTAAGGTCTAAAGTTATATTTTTAACAAGTTTATCAGAAAGGCCATTACTGAGGTTAAGACTGAAAAAGATGGCAAAAAATAGACCCAAAAGTTTAAAATTTGGGGATTTTTTGGTTGATTAAAAATATCAATCTGTTTTAGTTGTTATTACACCATTCTTTTCCATTTGTGAAAGCAATTAACCATTTGGGAAATTTTTCTTCCACTTTTGTTCACATTATATTTTTCATTTTTATTTAAGGTCTTGTCTTGCTTCCATTTTATAGTTCTGAAAATTCATCTCTACTGAAATTATTTTGAAATCTCCTCTGTACCCTTTGGAGGTACGAAATCTGCCAATGTTTGAATCCTAAATCTTTCTTGATGATAAATCCCTTGTCCCTGACCCGTTGACTAAATGGCCAGTTGCATAGTAAACAATTTTTTAAAAAGATAGTGCAGGACATATCTGCCAACCATTAACTGAGCCTCTGGTTCGGGCTCCTATAAAATACAGTTTGATTGCAAAGCTGACACGATGACAAAGGCCAGTTTTAATGAGGCTAACATTTCAATTCACATAACTGGTGTTCTGTGCGAGGGTTTTTCTTTTGTCTGTCCCAAAATGATCTTTGGCTTACTTTACTCATATTTTGTTCATTAATAGTTAAAGTAGTGATATTATACTACCGACTGTTCATATGTAAGTGGGATCTAGTTAATCACCTGATCATGATGTTTGAATTTTATGATGACAGACAATTAATGTTTCATTAATACCGTGTTGTATTTATTATTCTTAGACCACTAGAACTTCCTAGAAAACTCAGGAAGAGAAAAAACGCCCTGTTTTTTGGGGGAGAAACCTAAGGGGTTCTGCTCGCTAGGTAGTATTATCAAGCTTTTTTTTTTAAATATAGTGAGAGATCTAGAACCGTGCTCATGACCAAGAGTAAAGATCAGACTCAAGTTGACAATTCCTAAAAAGGAAAAGAACAGAACCTGACCTAAAACAGCTTTTTAAGAGAAATCTTGGTTACATGGTACTAAGTATGTTTTTGTGATTTGCTGTTGGGTGATTCATCATATTGAACAGGGTGATCTTTAACAGCAGTGTTCTAGGATAAGCTAGGTGCATATATTTTGAGCCTGTCTAATATTTCCCTGTGGTAATGAAAGCCAATGTTTACATCTTTTAACTCTGATGAGTCTGAAATAGTTATACATGTCAGCACTGAAAGGTATTTTTGCTCTTTAATTGTTTTTGAAAATACTGCAATCATTACACGAACTTGCACCAACTCTGAGCTAATTTGGAAGTGCCATTAATTTTGAGTGACTGACCCATGTGATGTTACAGCTGTATATATGTTGTGGTTCAATTTTATCCTTGGTTTAAATTTTATTTTCCTTTGTTTCAAAGTCATTATCATGCATTACCATACCCCAAAACAAAGGACAAAATTGAACTACAACATATATAACATATTTGTATTTCCTGTGCAGTTTTTTAACCATTGCTCCAGTCTTTTGATGAATGTCCTTCTCTTAACTGATGTCTTGAAAATGTTTAAAATTCAATGTTATGCCTTTGAGTGTAGCCTTTTACTTTTCTGTCACACACAATGAATTTGGATCACTTTCATATCTTTGAGCATTAGCTCTGTCGGTGTATTACAGTGTTTGTTTGTGCTGTACATTTATCTTACAACATGTACATTGTTCCTTGACCGTTGGCTTATTATTCTGCTGTGATGCTGTGATGATATTAAGGAGAAATACTTCCTGGTGTACAAATTTTTTACAGCTGGTAAATGTCATTGAAAACCCCTTAATGGTCAGCTTCCTTCAAGATAAGCTGATGCTTGTTTTGAATCATCAAAATAAAATTTTATGATGTGGTTCTTCAGTTCCAATGCCCTTTTTCAACATGTTCATATTGGAAAATTAATTTACATGGTTTTAAGTTACAAGGATGGAACGGTCATATTATCCTTTAAAGAGCATTCCCGCTAATTAAAGTTGCTGTATGGTTCCAGTTGGTCAAATCAGTGTCTAGGTGATTAAACTTTCCTTTTTATTGCCAATGTCCTGTCAGCCTGCATCCACTTATGTTGTAAATTAGAGCAGTTGTGTACTTGGAAGATACATGTGGTACGGCATGTTCACGCTAGAAATTGTAAATAGAAATTGTACCATCAATATTTTAAATGCTGCATTTATAAGCGGTGCTAATATCAAATGATTTTTATCATCATATTGTTATGCAGGGTAATTGAGGCCAAATATTATGTATTTTGTATTTTCTCCAGTTAAACTGAAGAGCGTAAGCATAAATGCACAGAACCTGTGCAATTTAGATGTGTAATTTTTTCATTGGTGTGTGAGTTATACTGGTAAAAAAAAAATCTGTTTGTTTGCAGAAGCAGTAAAATAATAATTTAAAAAAACTGGATTTATATTTTTAGATGGCCATGTTCTGCAAATATTAAATATAGCTGTTTTGTGGTCTGCTTCAAGTACTTTATCCTTGATTACCTGATGTGGCTCAATGGTGCAAGCTAATGTGCCTTTTTAAAATGTTGTATTTTACTAGCTTGGTAAGCTTTAAAAGTAGTCTCTTGGGATAATAATCCTCATCTTGCACAACTTGTTTATTCTTTTTGCAAAGGGAATGTTAATGATTCAGTCCTTCTGTATAATAAAGAATAGATTTTAAGACAATCTGGTCTCAAATATTAGAAGTGTAAGTAATTCAAATCTCCTTTTTACCAAGTCACAATTTAGAGCCTTTCTTTACTTGTATGTTACTAGTGTAATTTATTAACCTTCCCTAGGATAAGAAGTTAGTTTAAACTGTTGTTGCGTGCAGTGATCATTTGAACAGACTTCTCCAAAATTGGATTAGTTCTTTGTAATGAGGGTAGCACATTCTGAAGCTTCTCAATAACCTTGCATTTAAAACAGTGCTTGTTTAATTAACTTATTCTTGTTTGCATCTGCATCTGTTGGTGGTTGCATGTATATGCATGTGAAGTTTAATACTTAAGCATGACTCTAAACCCCATTTTGTCAATGAAATTGGAATATGGTCAAATTTGTTTTATCATTTCTAATGAGCTTAACTGAAGCCAGAGGCCAAAGAAATAATTATCTGAGTCACTGACAACAAAGAGTGTCACAATACCAAGCTGGGATTAACTGTGGTAGAAGGCGGTGATGACAACAAAGATGATTGATATGTTCATTACGTTTTAGAAGCTCATTCAAGAAACAAGTTGTGTAGATACAGTACTCATCTGAAGTGTTGTTGAACCTCAATTACGTGGCCACCCTCTATTAAACGGCCAGTAATCAAAGTGCCAGAATAATAATTTATTGTAGAAAAGAGTTGTAAGTCAAACTTCTGTTAAGCGGCAACCTGACTGCAGCCACCTTTTGGCCATCCCTCAGGGTTCTCCTATTGTCATCACCTCTATTAAGCGGCCATCGAGCATTGATACACTTAGTTTGGCTATATTATGACTAAGGAAAATCTTTATATTTGTCCTACATGATTGTTTTGTCTTGCTAATTGTGAGCCCACTCAGTGAGAAAAACATCAGAAACTGTGCTTAACGTTTTATTTTTCAGGGTTTATACTGTGTTCGTTTTCATTACAAAACTCAAAAATATTTAAACCCTAGAAGCCATTTTTAACTTCTTCATGGTTGCTCATGTGCCATGCTGCACAATTACTTATTTTTTTTTGACATGCCTTTGTTATGAAGTGTTTTAATTATATGTGGTCATATACATGTTAAAAGTAACTCACTGGGACCTATCATTTAGGGCAAGGTCTGCAATAAATTGTGTCATGAGATGTAGTTGAAAGCAGCATATATTTGTATCATAGATTTTTCTAGGCAAATGCTTAATACCAGTTTGAATCTATTTTGTTCAGATTAGCTATTCATGAGAGGGAGAGGGAAGAAGAACGGCGTCGAAGGGCTAAACTGGCAAGGCAGCCATCGGTGAGTACAAAATACTGTGATTTTTTATCTGTTAGATGTGTTGGTCCTTACTTCAAAAAGAACATCTCATACATTCCCTTTGGGCCTAACAGTGCAAGCAATATATTGCTTGACCGTCGACAACCTCATCAATTGTGATTATGTAATCCTCTGTGGGAGGGATGAAAATCTTAACACATTTTAGTATTCACTACTTGGTTAGGGTCAGTTACCAAGTGTTTGCACCCCCCATGGATCAAACCTGCAACCTCCCACACTGCTGTCCATCACTTTGTCAATTTAGCTGCATGTCTCCCTGTCATGGGCACAAAACTGGACTGTTTTTATATTGCTTTGTTTTGGGGTATGGTTGTATACATTGACGAGTTTGAAATGAAGGAATATAAAATTCATTGAAGCCCAAAAAATACTTGAACAACCACAGTTAGCGATCAAAACAGAGTAAAGAAAATAATATAATATCTAATGTAATAATAGTAATTTTTACCATTTAAAAAATGAAAGTATTGCTTGTTACCTAGGAAACTTGGATTGATTTATACAATCTAACAGTGATAAATCTATTATTAAAGTAGTTATTTTGTTTTAGTTTTTCCCATGACACTGTGGTTATTTAAAATAATCCCTTAAAATGTAGAAATAAACTTTACATTTGTATCAAGCTTTTCATCTCAATCAACATTGTCTGTACCATTTTTGTGTTAAAAAATGTTAACCCTTTTAATTTGTCGTCCTCCAGGGCTATCATTAAGAGTCGGGGGCCGGGATTTTCCCAAGCTATTATGAATGTGACCTCCACCTACCTGTGTACGAAAATAGAAGAAATATAGAACCAAACAAAATGTAATAATAGTAATTTTTACCATTTAAAAAATGAAAGTATTGCTTGTTACCTAGGAAACTTGGATTGATTTATACAATCTAACAGTGATAAATCTATTATTAAAGTAGTTATTTTGTTTTAGTTTTTCCCATGACACTGTGATTATTTAAAACAATGCCTTAAATTGTAGAAATAAACAGCTTTACATTTGTATCAAGCTTTTCATCTCAATCAACATTGTCTGTACCATTTTTGTGTAAAAAAGTGTTAACCCTTTTAATTTGTCGTCCTCCAGGGCTGTCACTAAGAGTCGGGGGCCATGGATTTTCCCCAGCTATTATGAATGTGACCTCCGCCTACCTTTGTAGGAAAATAGAAGAAATATAGAACCAAACAAAATGTAATAATAGTAATTTTTACCATTTTAAAAATGAAAGTAATGCTTGTTACCAAGGAAACTTGGATTGACTTATACAATCTAACAGTGATAAATCTATTATTAAAGTAGTTATTTTGTTTTAGTTTCTCCCATGACACTGTGATTATTTAAAACAATGCCTTAAAATGTAGAAATAAACAGCTTTACATTTGTATCAAGCTTTTCATCTCAATCAACATTGTCTGTACCATTTTTGTGTAAAAAAATGTTAACCCTTTTAATTTGTCGTCCTCCAGGGCTGTCATTAAGAGTCAGGGGCCATGGATTTTCCCCAGCTATTATGAACGTGACCTCCGCCTACCTTTGTAGGAAAATAGAAGAAATATAGAACCGAACAAAATCCCTAGCTGTTGGACTCCCCGCCTACTTGTATCATTAGCCTGGCAACTTGAAATTTTAATGACAGCTTTGTCTTCAGTGGAGAAAATACAATTTATTCCATCCTCTTTCCTTCTTTTGAAAGACAATGTCATTGCATGAGGAGAACTGATTAGTTTTTGTTAGGAATTATTAATACAAGTTATTAAAATAAGTCTCTTAATAGTTTAATAATGCACAGTGTTGAGTAACATAAAAGTTGCTGGGATACTGACACAGCGTAATAAAGTAGCAATTGCTTTGCATCATGTATGTGTGGATCCTTGTCCATATATGATGCTGCTACTGTTTCAGTGTACATATGCCTCAAAAGTATAAACAGTAAACAACTCTCTGAAGTTTTGGACCATTGTTTTGTTCCCAACAAGGTTTATATCACACATGTGGGGTGTTTTCATTCCTCCATGCGACAATCACCTTTGTCTTACAGATATCGGCGCTTTTCTTGTGGTGTGGTTGATGTAACACATTTCGCTCCACAGTCAATAATACTGTTTTGAAATGCGAAATTGCCCACTTATTTTCATGCTCCTCTTATTTGGCAACTAATGTTTAGTTTTTTTTTCTTCATATTTTTAGAACGCTGGTGATATTCCCCTATTTGAAGAACCCAGAAGGGTATGTGTTATGTAATGTGTTAAACACCTAAACTGGATATGCGGAGTATTATATTACATGTACATTTCAATTTTGTCTTCTGACCATCAAACACAAACTCTGTGTTTGCTGGCTTGTTTCAACAAATGTTCTTAGCACTTTCACGCCCAGGATGAATATGAGTGTTGTAACATGGCTTTAACTTTTGAGTCTGTTGATGAAAACTTTTGGTCTGACCATTCAATTGACACCTCTTTGGCAGTTCTTTCACATGGTACTATTTGTTTTTCAGGGGATTTTATGAAATGAAATTTGGTAGTTTTGGTGAATTTTGACTAAGGCCCTGTCTGGGAGTGAATGGGTTAATACCCAATTAAAAAACTTACTTGAACTCAAACTCTTAGCAACTGTCTGTCTGTAACCAAAAAGGTTTGTTATCTGCTCTGGTGAAGACAACCTTTCGGTCACATAACCTGACATTTCACATCGCTGGTGAAGTTCGAGCAATTTGAACAAAATATTCAATTTTACTTCTATTCTTCAATTTGTTGCTCTGAGTTTAAAATTTTCTATGCTAAATAATGTTTTTCTTCTGTCTTCTGTAGTTGTGCTTTGTTTGTCTTCTCCAGTACTTATCTTGTTACTCATGTTGCTTGGTAGGTACAGCCATCAACACAGGATGCCCTCCAACAAAGAATTCAGGTACATTAGATAATTATTATCGTGTAAGTTCTTGTGGCATTAATCTTTTAGCTTTCTTATAGAAATCTGTTTAGTTCTGTAACTCCAAAGAGCATGTACAACCAAAAATTGAGGCAAAAATTTGGTTTAATCTGTTTTGTTATCATTTTGTTAAATGCCAGTGAAGATGATATTTTTACATTTTCACAGAACTCAAACATAGCACTCACATTTTGTGTTTCCATATTGACCCAAGGCAAGGTTGAAACAACACAGCATTAATGACTGCATTTCAGTCTTTGCTGTGCATTTACATTTGCCTTGAAAAAAAAAGATGAAAGAGAATCACAAGAAGAAACCTTCAAAGATAGAGAGAAAAAAGGCTTCTTCTCCCCAAAATTAATTTGAAGGAATCAGTCCATGAGGTTAAAAGCTGAGAAGTACAGTGTAAGGATCCAGCATCTTTAGGTTTTACTACCAAGAATAAATTTCGCGTTCCTGAAACATTTTTCTTGGGCACCTCATGCTACTGGTCAATAGCCCAAGGGTATCGAGGTGTAGGAGGTGTTTACATGTGGCCAATATGAGAACTGATTGAATTTCAGGAGAGCATAAGTTAATGTTTTGTCATTGACATTGAAATAGTTGACATGAGATCCCCCATTTCAAGGACTGTTTTCTATAATCCTTTTGTTGGAGTTTTGGGGTGGGGTGTGTTAGTTAGGCATTTTTGTTTGTCGAGTGTTTACGTAAGTTCCCCTTTCAGTTGAAATTTGTCTTCGTAAGTCAACCTCAAAAAATGAGCAGCGTGCAAAGAAAGTAGTGTCCGATAGCCGAAACCTTGTGGATTTTGCTGTTCTCAACTTGCCAAATGGGAAAGTGACATTTTTTGAAATTCAAATTACAGAAAAACTGTAATCGATCCTGCTCATTAAATGTTTTTTTAGGGATGTTTGAGGTAGTACGTGCAAGTAATAGCTTGCCCAAATGGCAAGCTGTAAATTAAACAAACTTTCTTTACACCTTGAATGAGTCTACCTTCATGTACTGTGTAAAAAAATGCAAAGAGCAGGAATACATTTCTTTCGTTTCTAAAGCTACATGTATTTAGAGGGTTGGGAGAAGGGAAGATCACCATTATGAAAGACTACTGAATTAGCATGTCCACATTTTAAGCTTTGAGTTGCTGAAGTGTAAACCACATTAGGTGTTTCAGGAAAGTACAGTCAATTCTCTTGTCACAAGAAAGCATAACAAAAAGCTACCGATCAGACTATAAAAACTGTCATCGATCTAAATTTCTTGATTACATGTTTGTTTCAATAGGCCACTCTGGGCAAATTTGACACAATAGCACCGTCTGTATTTCAAAATCAAAATCATCTCTTTGGCATCCCAATTTCAAGACTTCCTCAAACTCCTGTTGATGGCAAAAACAAGTTCAGCTTTGATACAAAGAGTAAAGATTACAAGAAAGTGTGTGAGTTTAAGAAAGCCAAGGCTCCCAACATGATATCTAACTACCAGGAGACTTCAAAAAGAACACTCAATAGCTCTAATGTCAAAGTTAAAGAAGAGGTTAATGGAACAAAGAATCACAAAGCCAATGGACTCTTGAATGGCTCTGGACATGGTGCCGCTAAATCTTCTTTGGTGATCAAATCACAAGACTCTGCTGCCTCCTCAAAGAACTCTTCTCTGTCAAATTTAAAATCTCCACCTGTTGCAGAAAAAAACTCATCCAAAGTGGATTCGAAAAAATTGGAAATTAAGCCAGCTGTTAATGGTGCATTGAAGTTACACTCCAAAGACGTCAAACTTGAAGAAAATTCAAAGGCTAAAGTTAAAGTGGAAAAGGATGGAAAGGCCAAGAGTGAAAGTGAGAGTGAGAACAATGAAGGTTCCAAAGGGCAGATGCTTAAATCAAATGCAACCAGCAAGAGTAAACCTCCTAAGATTAAGCTACCTGACAGGTACAAAAAGTGTTGGCATTAAAAGTATATTTGCGATGCTGTCACTGGTTTCCCCCGAAATGACGTCTTTGGAACGACTGCAGAAATTCCTTACTGATGATGTGCACTACCCAGGTCTTGGTAGTGCTTTTAAATAGTTGTGCTATGAGGGAAATTATTTGGCTGCAGTTATCAGAAGCATTAACCAGATCTGGGTAGTGAAACATATCAGCACCATGGCTGTGCTCTAAGAAGGGATTCCAGTGCTCTGAAACTGTGAAATCCAGGGTGCCCAACATTATGTTTTTTTTAAAAAAACTAAGATTTTCTAGTTGTCAGGGAGCAAAAATTAGGCATCAGGGGCCATTGGGCTCTGCTAGAGTACAGCCTTGTCAGTATTGGATTTCTGCAGTCGTTCCTCAGGCATCATTTCGCAGGGTAACCAGTTGTGGCATCACAACATGTTTTCTTAGGCTAAGTGGGTCAAATGTGCAGGACTTGAGAAATTGAGTGAAAAGTATGAAAGAAATTTTTCTCTGCAATGTGTATAATGTACATTGTTGGAAAACAGCTTTACTGGAAAACATCACATAGATAGGGTAAACATTTGGTAAACTTACTGTCAGTCATAGATTTTGGTACTTTTCCATCTAATAACATGACAGTTTTGATGGTCAGGATTAATATTTGGATTAATATTTATATTTTCTTGAGATGTTGCAGTTTTTTTTTGTAGGCCTCAATTCGAGCAAAACTTTTTGTGTGACTTTGCATATTACATATATGCTAATCATCAGCCAGAAAAATGTTTTGTCAGTTTATCAGCAATCCTTTGGAACTTGAAAATGATGTCAAGATGGCACTGAAATGTTCTGCATTTTTTAATATCCGTGTTATTTTTTACTTGTTTCTTTATACAGTACTGCTCAAAAGTAAGTTACCAGTCGCGTCTCCTTTCCTGAAAGATCATTCTTTATCACTTTTAACAGCTATAGTCTTATTAATTTTTCACATGTCAAATTTTCAAAATGGTTGTAATAACCATGGTCAACATAATTATGAACACCTGAATGATTATTCCTCTTTTTCTTCAACAGGAGTTTACCCACTGCTTCAGAAGAGGTGAGAAAAAGTCTCTTTCATGACTTCATGCATAAACTTTACAGTTTTAGGCATGGTTTAAGAGAATCATGGGAATGTGTTAAATTTGTGAAGTACTTGACTATTATTGCTACAAATCTCTTCCACAATACCGTTATGGAGCCAACGAAATGAGTGTTTGCAGAAAATGAATTACCCACATGCTCCCCTTTGGAAGATGAGGTTGGGGTTGGGGGTGGGGACTTCAAAGCTAAAATTACAAAAGAAAATTATGGACCTAAACTGGAATTTCCAGCAGGGTGGGGAGAGTTGCTGATGCTACAGTGCTTTGTTTTTTAGAACAAAGAATTTCTAGAATTGATAATAATATTATGGCCTTTTAATGTGCTGTCAATAGCATTACCTATCAGCATTTTTTTAGTTGAAGCCCTTGTACACTGATAAAGGCAGCACTTGACAAAAAAGAAAAACAACAGGTTGTGTATATTGTTATGATATATTAGCTGCAAACACTCAGGGCCAGTTTATTTACAATACAACTTTTGTATTTTTTCATTTTATAATACAGTGAAACCTGTATCAGGCAGACACTGATGGGACATTCGCTGGTGTCCACTTAATAGAGGTGTCTGCTGAATACAGTTTTGTTGGGAAGAGACATGAACATACTCAGTTATTTGTTCACTTAGTACAGTGTCTGCAGAATACGGGGTCTGCTACATGTAAATACAGGATTACCTGTAACTACATAAGACCATATCCCCTGTATCTAGATTGTTTTACATCTGGAATGATGCAGCTTTTCTTCAGTCATTGTGTTAGTTTCATAGAAAGACAGTGGTGATGCAGTGTGTTATGACTGCCACTTTTTGGACATCAGAATAATTATTGTTTCCTAAAAATCTATAACCATATCGAATGGAGTGCAATATTTGCCCCTAAACATTGAATAATTGCTGAATATTCATGTAGCAACCCTGTTATGTTTTGTTATTAAGTCTACTGTGTTGTTGTATTGCCAGTCCTTTTGTGTTTTCTTGTACATATTGTTGATCTTCAAGACTCAAGTGTTTTTGTTGAATTTGTTTTTTTTTCGTATCCTACCTCTTAACTTGATAATACATGTATAGCCATAAAGACCAGATTACGGCCAAGTTGCAAGAAGTTCATAGCCACTTAAAGGAAGTTTTGGAGATCAATCGATATCTTGTTAAGCGTGATTGTCATATCTGTTTTCTTTTGTGGTTCACATAGGTAGAAAACAGCTTTCAAATATTTTGTTTAGCAAAAGCGATAACTTTGTTGAATTTTCACCAACTACTGAAGCTGTTGAACTTAAAAATTAATAATTTGAAGTATGTGAAAAATCACAACTCTTGACTTGTAAATTTTATTTACTTCCTAAAAAATAATTATTTTTAGAAGAAAGCTCATACACTTAAATGTATGGTTATTATAAATATTGTATCCTCAATTAATTTTATAAAATAGTACCTTTTATCTGCATTTGTTTGTAACTTTTGTATGATGTGTAGATTTTTATCCAGTGAAGAAAGTTCACTGTCTAATTTTTTGCCTAAAACCTTTCAATATCCTGAGAGTCAGAAAGTTTTAATTTCAAGAAAACCTGAAATTTTTAGCATTGAAAAGTATATACTAACAGCTCTATTGCAAAAGTTCTTCTAAGGAGTTTTCAGCTGAATGCTCATATCAGGATTATTAAGTCTGCAAACTGAAATAAATGTAGAAATCTCAAGGAAAAGGATTTTGCCAAACTTGTAATACATCAAAGAGGCACTGTGAGTGGAGAATGGCTTTTATAGCAGCAGTTTGTCTTACACCAATGTTATCATGTTTTACTATGCTAGGATTTTTAGGTCGGTTCCTGTGTGGGCAGCTGCTATATTTAACTAGTGAATGATTATTTTTGGATGGCAAACCCCCTCAGAAGCTAAAGCTTAGAGGCCTGTTTAGAATCATTAATCAACTTGACACCGCACACAAATCATAAGCATTGTCTTTTCAAATGTACAATGTAGTAGATTGTACTCTTACAAAACCATCATAAAGTCGGAGAGATCTCATATTGATTGCAATTAATTTGGTTTATTTTGGATGAAAATCTTCTAAACCTACAACACATACAGCTGTAGCAGATGCTAGCTGAAAATTTAATACTTTTTGCGTCTTGAAAATGAAGAGATCTGATCTGATCTGTTGTAAACATTCTCATTTATTTTTAATTTAGCAGCAGCATATGAGTGTTTTAACAATGTGTTTTAATTCCCTTTAATGACAAAAATTTGTGTTTTTTTTTATGTTCACTTGATTTATTGAGTATTCTGATTAGCATAATAAACAAGATGAAATGTTCTTAGCTCATTTGAAAATATAGTATTCAACCAGCTGAGTGGATCAGAACTCTATTTTAATTAAACCAGATCGCTTTTCTTTGTGAAATTAAATGTGTGCAAAATGTTAGCTGATGATAAGAGTTCTTGATTAGAGCTGAAAACTGAACTCAGTGATAACATTTGATGTAGTTGCCTTTTCTTGCTCATGACAAATATGTTGCTCTTCCTTAACTAATCTTCGAAGGCAATAGTCATGTGCCTTACAACTTTAAAGCTTTTAACTTTTTCCTTATCAGTCATGCGGCTTAAAAGTTACTGAATTAAAATGCTAAATTTTCACGTTAACGTCTAAAAAGACCACTGGGTGATTGACCAAAGGAGTCTGTGTACAAGGAGGTTTGTCTCAAATACACAAAGAAGATTTGTTACAAGAACCAACTGGAACAACACTTTTATTGCTTCAATCATCCTTGGTTTGTTTTGTAGCTTTCAGAGAATCAAGCTCATTTCTAAACTTTGAAGTCAAAACACGAAAACCCGTCTTAATTTAATTTTTTTTTTTGCCTTCAAGATATAATTTTGCAATCCATCCATTATCAGTGCTACCAAGATACTCTACAATATTGACAGCGCTCTAACCAATAGCAATTCTGCTGTCATTTTAGTCTCAGAGGCAGGTGCAGAGCATAACCTATCAAGTTAATAATTACACAAAACTTTACATTACCATGCCACTTTCATCAGTGAATGCAATACCCTGTGTTTTCTGAAAAGGTTTTTAATTTTTACATTGTGGATTCATTTTTTATAGAAAGAAGGGTATCCTTTATCCTCTTTTAAGTGCTCTAACAACTGTCTGGTATTGTGGTTAGATATTTTTAAGCCTAAAAGTTATTTCTTCGTAGAAGAAAACTAAGTACTCAAGAGAAAAAGGGCAGCTGTTTTAGTGAATAAGAGATAACTAGGACAGGAATCTGAGCTTTTAAATTTCCTGTGATTCAGTTACTGTTTAAAAAACTGTCAAATGTACTTCCTTTTTTCATTGATATCTCTCTTTGAAAGATTTTAATTGGAAAATCTAGCCCTTGCTGGGTGACTATCATAAAGTAAGGGCCACATTTTCCTGTGGTTTATCAGTATATGAGCACATTTGGTTATATCTAAGTTAGTTACTCTATGATTTTACTTTTAATTCTTTAGTAACTCATTTTGTTCACTCCCTTTCAGGAAGAAAATCATTCTGTGAATGAACCTGCCAATGTGGAAAAGATTATTGCGGTAATAATATCCTTACTGTCATTTTTGGTACAGTGCCAAACAGTTTCCCTAGCTCTATTAGAGAGAGAACAACATTGAAAACCGTTTGAAAACTGTCTTGGTTAGTTTTGTCCCCAGACTTGCATTTTAGAGACAAACTTGAAGATTTTTATGATTAATATTGTGTACAATAGGTAGCTTTGCCATTTTAGTTGCTGATCAAGTTTTGTTGATTGTAATTCTTCTAATGGGGGAATTGAAAGTTTGTAGTTTGGTTGTGAGTAAATGCTGATTTGCATTTTTGTGCCTTGCAATTAATGGCATAGAGGTCAATAATTACAGTGTATTGCCAAACGGGAAATCAGTTTATTTTTATGAAGTTTTCCATTTATTGTAATAGGGAAAGGCAAAACAGTCTCACCCCATTACCAATATGAGTTGTTCCATAGTGTGAAAATTACATTTTTGACATTCTGTAGTCCTTTAATGTGAGTGTTTTTTACAGAATGAGGAAGAAGAGACCAGCTGTGGTTCTCACTTTTGAGTTTGTCAAAGAGATCCTATGGCATGGTGTTACAGTCTATAATTTGTTTGTTTGTTTTCTATTTTAAAAAAATAGAAAACGTTTTTTGTCTTCACATAACCTGATATAAACACAACAGGGTGTGGGGAGAATTCAAGACAGTTATGCAAACCTCAGACTTAGTTGAGGGTACGCAAAACTTTTCAAGATATTGTCCCGAACCCTTCGAGTGTTTATATCACGCCATGCAAGCACAGAAAAATGTTTTCTATTCCTTTTTATAAAATAACTTTCCCTAGAAAAAGAAGAAAAACTCTTTGTTTGTGGCAAATGAAAGGGAAATGGTTTGTAGTCATTTATATCATTGTACAAAAAATATGGCCAGTTCTTGTTTGGCAAAAGAGAGGCTTTTATTTTCACTCAAAATGCAGGCTGATGCCAAAAAACTTCCATACAGCATGTTTGTACAGATTTTTCAAGTCTCAAACCTCAAAGTTATGGTTGAATAGAGTAACTTGTTGAGTTTTTAGCTCAAAACTTCGTTCAAAATTGTGGTTTCCTGATCAGTGCCTGCACAGCAAAACATGTTGATGCTACAATTGTGTTTACATAAACTCATGCAAACACACTCGTAGGGTAATAAGAGCATAAGACAAGTAATGTTGTAGTTATTGTATGAAAAATAACATAAGTTTTTTTTTCCTTTCTAAAGGAAATGCAACAGGTTGCCCCACCTCTAACCGGAATTCACACACCGAACAAGGCAGGAAATTCAGTCTTTGCATTTGGACACCGAAATATCACCCATGAGAGCTCTGTACCACTGATTGGAACATCAAAGAGAAAACCTAGCGGTATGAGATCTTAAAGTACAGTTCTATTTTATTCAAAGGGGTTGTGTCATGTCTGTCTAGTTGATTTTGTTAATATTGTCAATTACACTTCCTTAGTTCTATGCATGGGACTTAACGTCAGCGAAGAAATTACTTGTAAATAACAAATAACAAATTAATGATAAAATTTATGTCTTCTCAAACATTATATCAAATGCCATGAACAATAAAAATGAAATTTGAAAAACTGTTAGACCAACAAGTTTTAAAAACTCACAATTACTGCAATCTGTTTTCTTCTTCTTTGAGTTTGTCTGTTTGTTTATGTGTATTTGACGTGTTCTTTTTGTTCCTTTGATGGGAAAATAGGTTCGAGTGAAGACTCTTTTTAACAGTCTGCAGTTTGAATTGAAAAGATCAAAATAGAAATAATTTAATGTCCAAATTAATTAGAATCCTAAGGATGAAAACCTACTTTTTTTGAAGTTTTACCTACTTAATGATTTTAATGAAGAAACTTTTGAGTTATTGTAATTCATGAGGTTGATTCCTTTCTAATTAAACAGAAAGCACAGAAGTTAAGAAAGAAAATAGAAATGGAGAAGTGCTATTAACTGATGACTTAATGCTGACTGATGAAAGCGATGATGAGCATGTAAGCCTTGTTATCATTGTTAGTAGCCATAAATGTAAATGTTGAGTCTGCTTTTGAAGGGGCGTGGCTTGATGCCTAAGGATGAGCAATGGGTGGCAAAATTAGTTGAGACTCTTTACCTCAAAGGGCATTTCTGATGTTTTATGGACTTTAAAAGGGGAAAGGGGAAAGTGAAGGTTTCCCTCCTCCATCCCCTCCATAAAATGTTGTGCCGCTATTCCAGCTACCAACAGAAGACAACAAAGACCCCAACTGTGAATGGAGTGGTGTGGGGAGGGGTGTCGATTTTTGTTTCTCTGAAGTTACCCTCTTTGAGTTCAATGTCTCAACAATTATTTTGTCGCTTTTGAGGGTATTAAATTAACTGAAAGAGCTTACATAATTTTCTGGGCTTCAATCAGTGGGGAAACTCTTATTATATTAGCTCAACACACACGTGCTGAATAACGCAATCCCCTCCTTTACCCCCATCCTCTTCCTCCCGCTTCACAAGCATAACTCTGAAGAATAATTTCTGACTTAACAGAGTGCTAAACTGGCACCAATATAATTTATGCAAGATTTATATAGAAGGATTCCTTAGAACCTTTAATTCATCATTATCCCCTTGTTGTTGATCTGCCTATCATCGACAAATTAGCCTTCATTTATCTTTTTTCTCTCTCTCTCTCTCTTCTAGGAACATCAACCAAGCTCAGCACCCAAGACCAACATGTGAGCATTTAATTTCTCATCAATTTTTTATCGTGGGAAGGTTTTTTTGATTTTGATGTTGTACCTGCTGAGGTGTTTCTCAGTGAAACTGAAAATAATTTATGAAAACATGCTTTGGTGTTTCATTAGGATCTCTCGCCATCGTTCACATTCAACATCTTCAAGTGGAAGTAGCAGTGATGACAGTGATACAGACAGTAGTGACAGTGATAGTGATTCCAGTGGCTCTGACACAAATAACAATACAAAAGACAAGAAGTCCATCAAATCACCCTTGAAAAGCCCTTCTTCATCTCCAAAGGTAAGAGTGTTACTTGGTGAGAACTGTAAAATTGAATCACAGCTACAAACTATTGTAGGCTGCCATCTGATTATCAAGATTGAAAGCCGTTTGTGGCTACATGTTCTTGAAAGTCGTATTTTTCAAGAAAAACTTCTACAGTAAAATAAGCAAATAAGAGCATTTTCCATCAGGGTTTCCAGAGCTTTTTTATTAACTGTTTGTTATGCTTGGCTTTATCTCTCTTGATCAACGCTTGAAAAAATATTCATTTCATGTAATGTGAGAAGTCCATATTTAAGTTTGGGGGAAAATCTGATAGGCGAGTTGAGAACATGCGGATTCATAAGTAGGTGGTGTATTATTAAGGAGCTTAAACAACCATGACGGCAGTGGCTATGAAATCGTCACATAAAAAGTGAAGTTGTGCTGCTTGAAACTTTAGGGCGCTTATTCCATCTCATTTAATTCGTCAAATGCTGGCAAATTTTTTGGGGGCTGAATTCTAAAGGACTGTATCAAAGTTCAGGAAAATATTAAAGTATTTTTTTCTAATTAAAAATTGGCTTGTCCCACGGATGAGTCATGTCGAAGGTTTATATGTCTGAACTAATCAACGGACGTGATACATCTCACTTTGACTCTAAAGATGACTACTGCACAGGTTGCTGAAACGTCAGTCCCTGTCAACATCAGGCCCAGGTTGTTTAAACTCTGGATAGTGCTATCCACCAGACCAGATAAATCACAATCCAGCAGATAAGTGTTTGGGAAACCGATTGCACTTTTCAGTGGATAGAGATTTATCCAGTGGATAGCATTATCTACCTTTTGAACAACTGCACCAGCACGGTGTGCCAAAACCTATGTCGGATTGAATTTGAAAAACTGTTAGGCAAACAAGTTTCAAAAACACACAAGTTCAATCTGTTTTAATCTTCTTCAGATTTGTCCATCCATGCCTACTTTTGTATTTGCAGTGTTATTAATATGTTCTTTTATCTTTTGAGCAATAATTTTTTTGTTTCCCTCAATTTAGTGACCGTTCATACTGTTAGAATTTTGATAAAATTCGTGGTGCCGCTCCTTTTGCTTATTAATGAGGGTTGTTTTTTTCTTTTAGCCTGCCAGTGGAAGGAACTGGGATTTAAATCACTTTGTAAAAGCACTAAATCAGCCGTCAACACCACCTGCTACAAAGACAAAACCAAGCCCATCATCAGCTAACACAGTAGGAGAAGATGGAATTCGTGGCAATCAGATTGCACCAGCTGCCAACTCGAACAAAAGTTCCCTTAATTCGCATTTTAGTGGTCACACCAGTGCAGCTAGTAAACAGATCAAAAGCCCTGTGGCTCCAGTTTCTGATAGTCTAGGATTTGCTACTGAGCTTCTTAGTAACAGCCCTGAATTGGATCAAGGTATCGATATTGAGTCTTTGACGGCAAAACTGGACCTTCCGCCTGAAGCTGAAGCAACTGAGACCCTTAGTGAACCTGTTAGTAATGATCCGTGTTTGTCGGTCAAAATTCCACTTCCAAAGGCAAGTAAAAAAGGTGATAAAAAGTCATCTGGTCCAGGGACCAAGCAGAATTCTAGTCAGGAGAAGATCCAAAGCAACAAGACGCCCTCACCTAAGAAGCAAGTTAAGATTAGTGGGAAGGAAACAAAAACTCCAAAAAATTCTGCCAGTACCAAAGTTAGTAATGGCATTGATAAAAACAAAGTCAGTAAAACGGCGAAGGGGGGAAAAGCTGCAACAGGAATGAAATCTTCAACGAAAAAGAAGGCAGAGACAAAGAACTCAGTTACTCCTGTTCCGAAACAAGAACTTCCTGTTCCCAAACAAGAACTTAAATCAAATTGCGAAGGGGACGAGGAAGATGTTATCGTTGACATTCTTGGTGTAGAGAATAGTCCAGTAAATACTGATAGCAAACCTGCTTCAGCTGCAAAGACAAAGGAAACTGAGAAACCTAAAAAATCGAAAAGCAAGCCAGTAAATGTAAATGGAGTGCATAAGCCTGTTAATGGAGATAAACCTTTTTCTACGTTGATATCTCCAAGTAGAACTAAGGACATACTGGGTAAGAATGTTGAAATATCCTATGACGATGTCAACAAGCCAGAGTCTCTTATAGTAAAAATTGACTTGTCGCTGTTAAAACGGATACCTAGACTTCCTGGAAATGAACTGATCAAGCAAGAGCACACATTATTTCCTGTGGAGGAGACAAATGGTCTTAAGGATGTTATCCGCTCCCCAGAAGTCAAGATTATTAAACGGAAATCGTTCGATGCAACAACAGAACGCGACACTCTTAAAAAAATGAAGAGTGAAAGTGAAGCTGATTCTAGCCAGTGAGTATAATATTTACCAGTAATCATATTTAAGCAAACCATTTTGGAAGGCATCAGCTCTTGATAAAGGAAATTTCAGTTTTGCCAAAGTGAGAGAAGGACCTTTTGTTAGGTTAAAGGAAGGCTTTTGTACACATTGCATCTTCTGCCTTTTTGCTGATTTGTGCATACATGTAGGATATAGAATGCGTAACTACTTCCTTGTGAAGGATTTTAACTTTTCCAGCATTTTTGTTTGTTTGCTTTTTTCCTCAGAGTCAAAATGTTCACAATACTAAAAGTTTGCTGCCAGGGGTACACTTCTTCCTTGTCCTTGGCTTTTGCAAGTGTAGTTTTACCTAACAATGTGTTATCTTTCCTCTCAAGGACAAAAGCGCGTGAGAGGTCATTCAGCAACAGTAGCCTGAACAGTTGCCATAACAAAGGCAGTCATCGGAAACGTAGTCCAAGTCATGAAGAAGATTCCTATCGCATTAAGCGTCAGAGACATGACAGTGAAAGCAATAAAATGCCTGGGAATTTTATGGAAAGTCATCAGAATGGCACATTGTCAGAAAATGGCATTGATGTCACAGACAGTGGTTTGAAGCCCAAGGAGTGTTCATGCAATGAAAGAAGCAACATTGACAAGAGAGAAGCAGATATTGCAAGATTGTATGATCCAGAACCTAGAGTGTAAGTTCTACAAAAGAGTTACTTGTTATTGTGGCCTGGAGTTCAATTTACAAGCATAGCTATTGTTCCCAGACTCTAAAACAAATTACACTTGAAAACGTGTCATTAAATGACCCCTGGTTAAGGTTGTAAGTAGATGTGTTAATGTCCTGTTGTATTTTGGTTCAGGCCTTACGGACCAGATCACTACCTTGCAGAAGCCAAGAGACTCAAGCACAGAGCAGATTCTATGGTATGCATTTCATACATAGCAGGGTTGTCAAAAGTAGCCAGCTGCCGGCGAAAATCGCTGCTTACTTGGGTGATATTGGCCAGCTACTCTGCTTAGCATTTCTTTATATATGGCGTTTTTGAAATAAAATATCCCGGGACTGGCCTCTTACTTTGACAACTCAGTCGTCTACTTCAAAACTTTCTGACAACTGTGACATAGTCTTCATGATCAGGGCCATACACTAGCAGTACCCAGTGACCCCTGGTTCCAGTAATTGTTGGCTTTTGGGCAACTAGGAAATCTTAGTTTTTTGATAGAAATCATATGTCAGGCGTCGTGGTTTTTACATGTTCAGGGTATTGGGCTCCCTTCAATCGTTCTTAGATTGCAGCCTTGAATTGATTATAATGATTTGTAGATTGCTGTCGTGACATAATATTCGTTTGTAATAGTTGACTATAATCGCACTCACATGTTCCTCTTTTTTTGTTCATTTGCAGAGTGATAAGGAAGTAAAAGCATTCTATTATATTGACGCGGTCATGTTCTTTGCTCGTTGTGGAAAAGCTATTGAGGTTAGTTCAAGCTCTGTGTTTTCAATCTCTTTTTTGTGGGCAGTTTAACGAAGAACAAGAAAACATCCACTAAGAAGAGCATCAGCAGAGAGCATCAGTACTTGTTACCATCAACACTGAAATTTATTAAGCTAAAGCTACTTGAGTAACCAATGTCAATTTTCTCCCAACAATAATCATACTTTTTAAAGAGAGAAGGTTATGAGAATAAATGGGAAAATTCTTTTATCATATACAGTATCAGATTCTCTCCACTAATTCTTTAAGGAAGTGTATGAAGATCTGTTTGTAGAATTTGTGTGTGAATATTGGGGCTTAAGGGTGTAAACTTGTGTAGTTCTCTCTTGCTTTCCTCTGTGTTACCAATGTGATGGGTTCCTTGGTCACTTTTACATATTAAAATGATAAAGCAGCTTGCTTGCTGAATATGGGTGCTCTCCTGATGGTCAAGGATATGAGCAGGTTGGTACTAGTTGACGCTTACAGACATATCCCAGGCAATCGCCCACCACTTTTATTTTAACTATGTGATTGATTGTTCATGGCTAATGTTAGTGTTATAATTAATCATTTCCTTTCAGCAAAATGAAGAAGAATCTCGGTCTGCATTTCAAATGTACTCTGAAACGCTTGATCTTCTTAGGTAAGTGCTGTTATGGTTGTTGTTATTCGGCATCCAGGTCAGCTTGTTCCGTTACACTCTCTGGTGGAGAAAGTGTTTTCCCAGGTTCCTTCATTCCTCTTTGAAGGCCTCACAGAAAGTGAGAACAGTTAGTAATGTTATTGTAAAAAATCAAATCTGAACTTCCAGTTGTAAATATACCATCCCGGATCAGCCCACACAAAGTTTTTCAGTTGTGATTCATTAATAAAGTCTGTCATTTATTCATGACGAATGATCAGGGGAGGGGTGTGGGGCTTATTAACGTTCTTCCCCTGAAAAGGAGGGGGGCGCTTATTAGAGGGAGAGGGCTTATTTGAGAGGGGCGGGGGGGCTTAATAGAGGATTTATGGTAGTTTCTGTCTTGCTTCACAGCCAACCTGTTTATCAATTTGCATTCTCAAATTCCTTTCATTGTTATTAGTTTTGCTTACCCTTTAAAGGCAAGCAGAAAAAGTATCAAAATCACAAATGTCATCACTTTATTTCAGCTCTTTTTTCTAACACCTGCCTTTATTTACATCTTAGGTACACAATGCGGAATTTTGTGAATAGGTATACTCATCGATCCCATAATGTTCCAGATAAAAGACTTTCCGCTTTATGGTGAGGATTTAATAACTTCTTACCGTCACTTCTGATTAGGATCTGTTATTAGAGCTCTATTCTTGTAATTTTTATTGTTTTAGTCCTATTCAGGCTCCAATTGTTCAAAAGGTGGATAATGCTAATCACTGGATAAATTTCTGTCCACTGAATAATGCAGTTAGTTCCCTAATACATTTTCATTGCACAGTGATTCATCATTTATAGTGCAACCCAACATCTGAACAACCAGGGCCAGGACTTCATTCAGCAAGACGACTATATTCCACCTACTTACGAAAAAAATATGCTTATAGTTAATATCTGTACTAGTTATTGTACTAATTATTGTAAAAGTAATGTTTCACATACAGCTGCAGGGGAATCATGTAATGTTAATGATTATTTTGTTACTTTCTCTTCCTGTAAAAGCATGCGAATTCAGTCACTCCTTTACATGAGACTTTACAAGCTGAGGAAAGACAGTATAATGCGAAACATTAAGGTAAGTTAAATCAAGTTTACGTACATTTATAAACGTTGTACTTTTTGCTCAGGCTTGTCCTAGTGACACCTCGCCTTCCCTGCATGTCGCTATAGGTAGCCTTTACACTAAAGCCTAAATAAGCTTAGAAGTATTTCAAGACCTGTAAATTTTAAATTCTTCAAGTAAAATATAGCTCCACTACCCTGTCCCAGAGGTTTTTCTTGAAATTTTTCTTCTCTTTCCTCGCCGCTTCGTGGCTCGCTCTCTCTCTTTTGGCGAAGAAAAATTTAAAGAAAAACCTCTGGGACCAGGGTAAAGTTTCAAACACAACTAATCCTTTTTACTTCAGACAAACTGAAGGTTATTTTCCTATGCAATATAGTTAAGACTGATTGACATGCTTCACCTTTTCAAAGCTCAAGAAACCGCAAGTTCACAAAATCGGTTTAAGAGTGGTTTTCAAGTCACTTGAAACTTTTCTTGAATCGTTTCAACTTTCCGACTTTAAGGAGATGCAAAGTAAAATAACTTGAAATTTTACTTAGGCCTTCACACCCGTATCTTTGGATACGTAAAACTTAGCAGCTCATAAGTCTTACTTAACAGCCAAGTGCAAAGACTACCATAATCTGGCAGATAAGCAGGTGCCCCGCCACTTGGGTTGGAACAAAATAATCTAGTTTTTTACTTTTGTTCCCTCATTATAAATTGAGTATGGAATATTTTAAACCATTAGACTTCTATTATCAAAGTCTCTTTAGCATTAAGAATGAATAAGCAAAAATAACCTCTGTTTGGTTGCCATATTGGCAAACTATGTAGGATGACATCAAAGCCTCGTATTTTCTCTTGTTTTGTCTTCAAATGTAAACGCGAAATTTAGAATTTGTCTTTTTCCTTCAGTCAAGGTTTTTGTGTTCATAATAATTATTTCTTTTATTAACCTACCCGGCTTCAAAAGTAGTAGGAACTAATATACACTATATGTTTGACTCAACAGATGGTCACAGAACATTTTAGGGTAAGTATGTTTCACATACAAATTGAATTTCCTCTTTTTCTCGTTTTTGTGTTTGTTTTTTCAAAGGACACCCACTTGCTCTCCTTCAAACAATAGTGAGCATCATCTGCCTGTCCTTGTGATATTTCACTAAAATAATTTTATTTGTTGTTGTTTGTTCTTGTATTTTAGGGTCCTCCAAAGAGCACACAAGCCCCAAGTCCGTACACTTCAAACACAAAGTAAGTAATCTGTAGTATTGGTATGACACTGAGTGAAGAGGCATTAACTTCAGCACTGCGTTGGACGCTGGTTTTAGGGGTTTTGTCTATTGTATACGGATTCTATTAGTAGTGAATCACATTCATTACAACATTATAAAACTGAGTCTGATTTGTCATGTCCGTGTTCTTATGTGACAACAGAAAAACCTGGTAATGTTAATATTACTTTGCAAGTGAATACCCAGCCTTTTCCAGCTTTCAGTTACCCTGGACGAGGGAAAAGAAAACGTGAACAAAAAACGAGCAAGGACTGAGACAGAGCCCTCTCTTCCTCTTCTCCCCTTTCCCCCCTTTTTTGTTTTGTTTTTGCTGCACTTCTATTTGTTTCCGCTCATTCTGACCAACTGAGAGCCTGGAGCATAGGTTTGAATTAGTGGCCATTCTTCTCGTGCACAGCTGATACCTTCTCTTAGCGGACATTTACAGTCATCCCCTGCCCCTTCCTGGAAATTTTTTTTGGACTCTATAAGAAGGACACCTTTCGTAGACAGGCACTTAGAGCCGTTCCCGACATTATCTGCCTTAAAGAAAGTTGAGTGTACAGTTGGGGACAGCCAAAGCAGGCGTGGACACGAGTTTTTAACGAAGAATGCTGTCGTGTTTTCTTTTTTTAGGATTACTGGCACCCCGTCTCCTCTTTCCCCTACACCATCCCCGTCAGGAAGTGTTGGCAGCGTTGGGAGCAATGGCAGCAATGAAACGATGACCACACCTTCAAGGAATGGCAAACCCTCATCTACCTCCAGTGCCATGACGTCTCCTGTGAATGTATGTATACCACAGAAGATTCATGCCATGACTCAACAGCATGTGTTAACAGCAAACAATCTACTGTACAGTCAAGATACCTGGGATCAGTCCCAACCAATCATCCTTGAATTCAGAGGTAAGATGATGTACTTTGTTTTGATAGTCAGTACGATAGAGCGTGTTCACTCACATGGTCAGCAGTTGTGCAAATTTATTGGAACCAAAGAAACGTGTTCCGTAAGAAAAAGGATCCTAGTTTGGAACATCAACATGGCCGCCGCTTTATTGTATTGGTACATCAATACGGCGGACGTGACGTCATGTGCGGTGGAAATGTTGTATAGTGCAAGTGGTCTATTAAGTGTGGTTATGCCTTGAAGGGTGTCTTACGTGCAAGTGATGTAGCACGTTCCAGTTAAACTGCAGCCGGATACCTTATATTAAGTTA